AGCCATCATTGCTGTTTTGGTGGGCCTGGGCTGGATTCGAACCCGCTACCTTAGGTGTATGTGGCTGGCGCCTTAGCCACCTGAGCCACAGGCGCCGAGCCTATATTTGTGTTTTATTGTTATACAAGCATGTAATTGTTTACATATTGGTTTCATATTAGCAGGGAGTACATTGGAAAATCTCAACATTATTTTGCAAGAATCCAATGCAACTAGAATTGTCTACATCAGCAGTATAGGTTTGTTTTTTTTCTTTTCCTTTGATGAGTTGTAGACCTTTTCAGCATTTGATTTGTTTTCTCAGTGTTGATTATGGGTATTCATTTTCTTTTAGTTACCCTAACTTGTTACAAGAGAGACATATTTTAAGTATAGCTTGTATAAGACTGGGTTAGACCTTTGGCAACAAAACAAAATCAGTTCACTGCTGTATGGAGATTTAACTCACACTAGGACAACTGAATTAGTTCTTACAAACATTACTATTCCCCAAACATTGGGCTTGTCTTAAATTTTCCTTTAAGGATTTTCTTTTTCTTTTATGTATATATATAAAAGAAATGTCACCCTTGGTAGAGTGCTGTGGTGTCACAGCTCACAGCAACCTCTAACTCTTGGGCTTAATTGATTTTCTTGCCTCAGCCTCCCAAATATCTGGGATTACATGTGCCTACCACAATGCCAGGCTATTTTTTTGTTTTAGTTGTCATTGTTGTTTAGTTGGCCCGGGCTGGGTTCAAACCCTCTAGCCTCAGTGCATGTGGCCAGCGCCCTGCCCACTGAGCTATGGGTGCTGCCTTTTATGTATATTTTTAATGAAACTTCCCCTAAGGATTTTTTTAGAAAAATCTCATTTTAGCCAGCTGAATGACACCTAAAAAAAATCCTCACTATATCAAATATCTTTGCTTTAAAGAACTAGTGAGAATATTTTTTCAAATACCTCAATTTGCAAGTGTTTATTTTTATGTTTTTACAAATATTATACTAAAAGGAAATACCTTACTTTTATATTCATATCCTACCTAGATTAAATAAATAAAGGGATGTTTTCAAAACAAAAATTATTTTATTTACTTAGCTTTCCACATAATAAAAGCAAAGGAATTTTCTAAAGGTATCTGAGATCAAAAGGGGTTTTCCACACTTACCTGTAATTTTATCTATTAGAATTAATGTTGTTTATTGAAAGGCAGGAGAGGATATTTTCAAATATTTGGACTGGCATGTACTTTTCAGTAGCAACAAAACTATGTATTTAATATTTGAATAAAAAATGTACAAATATGTATTTAAACAACAATAATCTTGTTAGTTGATTAATATTTTACTTTTTTTGTTGTTGTTTTTGCAATTTTTGGCCAGGGCTGGATTAGAATGTGCCACCTCCGACATATGGGGCCAGCACCCTACTCCTTTGAGCCACAGGTGCCACCCATTTAATATGTTATATGTGTTACGTCTTAACAAAAAATGATGGTTTCAATATTGAGTTTCTTGTCAAATTCAGATCTCTTGCCTTGTTTTTTTTAGAGACAGAGTTTCACTATGTTGCCTTGGGTAGAGTGCTGGGCTTAGGCGATTCTTTTGCCTCAGCCTCCCCAGTAGCTGGGACTAGAGGTGCCCGCCTCAACACCTGGCTTTTTTTTTGTTGCTGTTTGGCTGGGGCTAGTTTTGAACCCGTCACCCTTGGCATATGGGGCTGGCGCCCTACTCACTGAGCCACAGGTGCCGCCCTCTTGCCTTGTTTATTGGAGGTTCAGCAGTCATAACTTTGTTAGGAATGTAAGAGAAAGAAATTTGAAAGGCAATGAAGAATACGAAATTTGAAGGAAGGATCATGTATTATCTTTGGGAACACAGGTTTGGACTTAAATATCACTAGTCCCTTGACGATTTCTAAAGAAGCATAGAAAAAGTTTAGAGTTTCTGAAGTTGCCCAGCTTTTAATCAGTGGTGAATTTAAAAGACACTTGTTTATGATCTTTCTTGAATTAGGTGCTCAACAGGTGATTTACAGATTGTTATTTATAAAACATAAATAAGTCGCTTTTCCTCTTTTAGGTCAGAGACCCCGTCCAGCCTCACAAATTTTTTTTTTTTTTTTTTTTTTTTTTTGAGA